TGAAGCCCAAGGAAAAGCAGTTGTGCTCCCTGTTCCTGGGATTAGACCCCACCCAGCCCACAGGCCCTCAAGGACTTCCAGACACGCGCCACACTTCAGGGCAGAGCTGCACAGAAGGCTCACAAATGGCAAGCAAGAAGCAAACCAAATTCTCACTTTTCTTGTAAAAACTTTAAAAACCTAAAATTTAATGAAAAAAAAACCCTTTATTTTCAAAAGGTTGGTTTTGTTGTTTAGTAACAAGGGGTTGGCCAAACAGATGTCATTTTTGTTCCAAGAAATAAATGCACACAAGACACTCACTGGCTTGGAGTCTGGAGACACTAACAAAGGCCTTGTTGGCTCCCAGCCTGTCCAGGCTTAAGGTACAGAATTAAAGGTTTGAATTCAAAAGGGTTGTTTAATCCAACTTCTGAGTCAGGTGATGCTCCTTGTCACTATAAATAAAGCTGATCAATTCCAGAACCATCTCAGTGGACCCTCTCACTGACCAGCCAGAAAATAAGGACTTGCCCATCACTGGAGGTTTCTTTTGAACTTGTCACCCTACCGAGCACTGACATGAGTACAACCAAGAATTCAAAAAGTCTTCCCAAGTCCCAAAGAGCTTGCGAAGTCATACAGAGTATAATAGGCCCTGCAAGCAGTCTCTGTAGTGCTCAGGAAATAACTTCTATCAGCCAGAGAGAACTCCACATGCCGGAATGCAAGAGTGCTGGGGACCAGTCTAAACAACCAGGAAACACATCATTTATATAGCACCCTTTATAAAGTTGCTGTTCATTTCGAAAAGTTGAGAGATATGTATTACTAAAATTTAAAAGAAAAGCAGAAGGTGAGTCTGGTTTTAAACTTGGGTGTGTGCCTGCCTGTTTCAGGAGACTCAATCAGAATCCGCCTGCCTAAGAGAACAATCTCCTAGGAAGCCCCCGAGGTAATATTCTATAACGCTAAGCAGACTCCATCGCCCAGGCTTTCTCACTTAGAATTAAATATTTACTTTCCTTACAAGCTGCATACTTTCCATCTAATGCCTACTTATTTTTTCTGAATTTGGTACGTTTGGCCATCTTCATGCTGTTAGTTTTAGGTAAAAGTGCCTGTCCACCCCCCCCCCCGCCCCCCGCCCTATGCACTCCCTTCCCTCATATGCACATAGAATTGAGAATGGGCTTCTTTAAGATTTATTTTATATATGATTGCCTGCATGTATGTATGTGAATCATGTACATGTCTGCTGTCTGTAGAGACTAGAAGTAGACGTCAGATCCCCTAGAGCTGGAGAAACGAGCAGTTATGATCCACAATGTTGGTGCTGTTAGGAACATCAAAAGCTCTCAACTCTCCAGCCCCCAAGACTAAAGTTTCCCAAAGGTCACAATTTACTGAGCTGGGTGTGCAAACTGCTATCAGTCGTCTGTTCTGACAGACAAACGGAACATTTCACCTGGTTCAACATTATTATGTTTTCATGTGATCAAGAGGAACAGGGACTTGAACCTTTAGAAAACAGCTACCTTGGCCTGGTGCTGTCTGGTCAAACTTGCCAAGACGATGGGAATGACGTAACTCTATAAGCAACTACTCAGCACTTGCAAATTGACTAAGAAATATAATGTTAAAATGTTACTGCCCCGTAACTTACATCCTTTAAACTTACACGGCTGCAAGTGGCTCCAGCCATACATGATGGTACAGACAATGCTGTTGTGGACAACAGCTTCATCACACAAATTCATGTGTCATGCATTTGTATGTACAGAGTTTGAAAGCCCAGAGCAAAGACTCTTCATAAAGGAATGAAATGCCAAGTGCCTTCCTGGACTGCCAAATTTCCATTGTCTCTACACCTTGCCACTGAAACTCATTTTAATCTTCTAGTTGTTCTGTATCCTCTCTTGGGTAATTACTGTCCCAGCAGGATAGAATTATGTGGTCCTGTTCAAAAAGCAGAAATGATGTCACTTAGCAGCTGGCAACAGGAACAGGTCCCAAAGCCTTCTTATCCTCTGGGCTTCCAGGTTCTCATCTACTGAATGGGTAACACCCACACCTACCCTAAACATGGGTCTATTATGATGCCTACAACCACAACAGTGTGGTATCTGATTCTGAATTGCAAGCCTTTTAAAGTTGGATTCTGATACTTTAAACCATGAGATGGTAGTCTCTCTTATCGATATTAACTACAGACACCCTGGGCTTCAAAATTCTAAGAGCCCCGATCTTGGCCTCTTCCAGGAGCCAGACAGCCCATGTTTATACTACTCAGTGGAAAGGGGCTTACAAGGCCTTCACCACTGCAGACGTGGGATGTATAAAGGAACAACCTGGGATGTATAAATGTCCCACAAGGGACATTTCCCCTTCTGGAAAAAAGATTTGGGCAAGCACTGTTGGCTCGATCTGTCTGTCATGTGTCTATTAGTTAAAGCCCTCGTGATAAAGGCACAAGCAAGGATCTGGGCTCCTGTGCTTTTAAAAGGTATCCCTGCTACACAATAATCCAATATTCCAATTAAATCATTTGCATGCAACCATTTAAACCGAGTTTGGTGCTCTATAATTATTGTAGCATGTAGAGTTAAGGCTCATTTCAGCAAAGAACTTAATTGCTCAAATGTGACTCGATTCAGGATGTATTTAAAACTCTCCCATCAAGCCGGGTGTTGGGGTACACACCTGTAATCTCTGCACTTAAGAGGTAGAGGCAAGAGGACCAAGAGTTCAAGGTCAGTCTAAGCTGACATGGCAATCGGGACTGAGACTCCATTCTGAAAACTGTAAAAAAGGAAGGAGAGGAGGAAGGAGGGAGGAGGGAAGGATGAGAGGAAGAAGAGGAAAGAGAAGAAAGGAGAGGGCAGGCAAGGGGAAGAAAGAAAAATGTTTCCTATCAACAACAACAAAAAATCCATATATTATAATATCACTCTAACTCCTTAGACACGGTAGAAGGTCAGAGTTCAAGTCCTATACACGAAATCCAAGAGTTCTAACATGCACGACTTCACACAAACTTGCTGATTCCAAACCTCAAGCTCCCTTCTTGCCTTCATCCCCCAATCTTGGCCTTCTCCAGGACTCAACGAGCCCAGGAGCCCGACAATCCAAGCTTGCCCTGGCCTCTAAGTGGAAAACTGACTGAGAGGTCTGCCCTGACCTCTCCTGCACTCAAACAGAAGGGAAGTGGCATCTCAGGCCCTCAGAACAGGAAGCTGCTTCTCAAGAGAAACAGGCTGGCAGACCATAGTGGGCTGACCTTGCAAAGTTCACTAACACAGTAAGACAGCTCTCAGGCAGGCAGCATGGATCACAGAAATTTCTCTGGGTGCAGGAAGTTAAGACAAGCAAGAACAGTTGGGGAAAGGTAAGAAGTGGTGTGACCGGTGAGAGCATACTCGATTGTAAAGGGCCGTGTCCAGTGTATGGACTTCGGCCTACAACGTGAGACTGTACGCAAGATTCCACTCAGGACCCGTCACCCCCACCAGAAGACCAACTTAGCAAACAGAGATGTGGGAGGCTCCAGGATCCTCCAAAGTTTCATTTCCTTGGTGTTTCCCAGTCCTGACCTCTGACCTCAGGAGTTATTACCAAACTGCTCTCTGTTTAGCACAAGGTCCCACACTTCCTGCCCAGTTCCCCAACCCCAGGGATGAGTGGGTGGTACTATCTTCAGGCTAGAGATAAGGAAACCCAGGTTCAGAGGTTAGGAGACATGAGCCTCAGGTGGTCAAGAGGGGTGGAATCAAGGTGTGTGACTTCAGCAGCTCTGCGTGGTCCACAGAGTGAGCCAGGCACCACCTTGTTTCCCTCCGTCTCCCACGTCCCTCAACACACATCCCACAAGAACAGTCAATACCAGCTGGCTACTCCCTACGTGTGCTAGGTCTCAGTTTGAGGGACAAGCAGGAACCTTGTTTATTCAGATGGGGAAATGGGAAACGTTTGAGCGAAAACACTTGGTTAACTACCGTCCACGAAGAGTGACACCAACAGAACTCCAGCTCGTGGCTTACAGTACGGGCAGGAGACCCTATAGCATCCCATACCGCTGGAAGCGCGGGCCGGCTGGCCTCTCTGCCCCGGGCACAGCCGGGAAGCCTGGCGGGCCGGGACAGACGGCGGGCCCAGTGCCAGCGCGCTTGGCCGGCCTGGCCGGAGGTGTCTGCTTCCGCTCGGGCCTGGCACCACGGGTCCATTCATCGTGGCCGCGGGAGGGATAGGCCAGGCAAGACCCCGGGTGGCCCCAACTCCGGCAGGGTCCGGCACCCTCGCGCCGGGCTCCGCGCGGCCCCGCCGGGAAACGGTGCTACGGCCCCGCCGCCAGGGGGAGCAGGGAACCTCATCCCGCACTCCGGGAAGTTGCTAAGGCCAGTCCCGGACTGCACCCGAGGCGAACCCCATGGCCCCCGCCCGCCCCGTCGGGGCCGCCGACGTGTCCGGTGGCCGCGGCCCGCAGCACTGGGCTGTGGGCCCCACGTCGCCCATCGGGTCTCAGCCCTCGTCCCAGGCCGGCCCACCGCCTTCCCTCCCCCCCAACCCCCTCCGGCCCGGACTCCGGCCCGGCAACGTCATCCGGTGGCTTCCCGAAACTTAACCCCTTCCTCCGCCAGCTGTGCGCCGCCCCGCCCCGCCGCCAACTTTCTTAGCCCAACTTCGCAGCGCGCGGGCCGGCCCGACGGCCGGGCCAGGAGGGAGGGGTCGCCACGTCGCGCCGCGGGGCCACCGCAGCTCCCAGCCGGCCGACTGGCCAGGGGGTCTAACCCTAGAGGCGCGCTCGGCCGACGCCCCTGCACGGGCTCGGCCTGGCACACGCAGCTCCGTCCCACCCGAGGGGCCGCGGCCACCGCCAGGGCGGGCGGGCCGGCGCCGCCGGGGGAGGGGCCGCCAAGGAGACGTGTCACTCGCGGCGCGGCGCGACCGGCCCGGCGCACCGACGGCCCGGCCCGCGCGCCTCCACCGCCGCCGCGGCTGCAGGGCCCGGCCAAGTTTCTTACCTGCAGCGGGAGACGCGAGAGGGAGAGCGAGAGGGCAAGAGCAGCCGCCGCCGCCGCCGCGGAACCGCGAGAGAGGAGCCGGCCGAGCCTCCGCCGAGAAGCCACCCCTGAGCAGCTGCACACACCGCGACCCCGGCGCCGTCCGCCCCGTCCGCCGTCCGCTCCGGCCGCTCGCTGGCTGCGTGCGCGCGTGTGGAGTCGTGGCACTTTCTGCCTCGGAGCTGGCGAACGGCCCCCTCCGCCGGGATCGCCGCCTCCTGCCTTCCCCACCCGGACCAGCCATTCATCGAGCCGCCTCTTCCCATTGGTCCACTAGCCGCCACTCTAACGGCAGCTGTCCAATCGAGTCGCGGACTGCCGCTCAGCGGCGTTGGCCATTGGATAAAAGGGAGGGCCTACGTCTCAGCCAATGGGAGAGGGGAGGAGCTGCGGGGAGCCGCGGGGGGCGGGGCCGAAGAGGGGCGGAGCCGCGCAGCGCAGCTCTCTGCTCTGCGCGGGGGCGGGTCTCTAACGCCCCGCCCATCTAGGGAGGTCGCCTGTCGACCCCGCCCACTCTGGGCCGCCGCTCTCCACGCCACCGCTTCTTCCGAGTCGACTCCGCCTAGGCAGATGGATTGTGGTTCGAATCCCTGTGGCCGCGGGCTGCTCTACCCCACACGGCCAGGCTGAGGTGGCGATGGGTGTAACCCAGAGGATTGCACAACCCGTGAACAACAGGGCAAATGCTTTATTTAAACCCATGTATCTTCACACAAAGCACCAGCCCCTGGGTCTAAAGAGAAGTTATACAGGGGTGAGAGCTGGGAGGATAGGGCTTTATCCGAAAACATTCCTCTCCAGGTGGTATTTTCTTGAATGAATGAAAGAACTGAGGTGGAAGATCCAGAAAGAACAAAGGAAATTGAGGTGGGCTGTGTGTCATTTTGTTAGGGAAGGCCACTCCCTAGACTGTATGAGATACCGTCCTTGTACAAATCACACAGCAGAGTTACATCCATCCTGTGACATTTGATTCCAAGTGATGGGGACCATGAGGTTCTGTCTCAAGAAAATCTTCTGGCAATCCAGGAAATTGATCCAGTGGTATTCCAAATATTAGCTCCAACACACTCACTCTTAAAAAATAAAAAAAAAAAATACAAATACAAAACCTATTCAGAGGAGGGATGCACACACCACCATGTACCAACTCAATAGAGTTGGTTCTCCCTGTCTGCAGTGGATTCCAGGGGTCAAACTCAGGTAGTCAGACTTGCATGGCAAACACTCTTACCCTGAGCCGTCTCACCAGCCCAATACATGCTCTTCAAAACCAAGTTGAAGTGAAATAATTTTGCATTGTGGTGCTTTTTTATTTTGCCAAAGTCTTATTATATGGCTGTCCGCTTGTTATGTATAACAGGCTGGCGTTGAACTCGCAGAGATCTGCCTGCTCTTGCCTCTTGAGTGCTGGGTTTAAGGGCATGAATCCCCCATGCCAGCTTAAGTTTAGGTTATAGCCATTTTAACAGTATTTCTTAAAATTATGCCTCTGAGCCTGCGCCAGAGGCAGTCTCTTTGAAATGAAGTTCTCTGCATGTCTCTCTCTCTGTCATGTGTGTGTATTTGAGGGGGGGAGCCAGAGTCTGATACCAGGCATCTTCATCTGTTGCTCGGGACCTCATTCTTGGAGACAGGTTCTGTGTCTGACCCTGAGCTCGCTGCTCTGGCTAGACTGGCCGGTGAGGAAGTCCTGGGGATCTGCTTGTCTCCATCTCTACAGAGCTGGGATTACGGGTGGCGCCTGGATTGTTCTCATTCGTGCTGGGAACTGAACTCAAGGCCCTCATGCTTTCACAGCAAGCATTCGCCCACTGAGTCTCTCCAGCCTCTAAACTGTTTTCTAATTTGTTTGTTTGTTTGTCTTGTTTCTCTAGACAGGGTTTCTCTGTGTAACAACTGTGGTTGTCCTAGAACTTGCTCTGTAGATCAGGCCGGCCTTGTACACAGAGATCCGCCTGCCTCTGCCTCCCGAGTGCTGGGATCAAAGGCATGCGCCACCACCGTCCACTCCTAAAATGTTGTTTTCTAAGAGACCCAAAGGATGATGACTCTATGGCCCTAGAATCTCTGCCTCAGTTTCTCCACAAGCACTGTGATTGGTCATTGCTTCTGTACATGCTGTTGGTAGAAAGTAAAGTTGGTAGAGAGAAGACACAGGAGTTAGGTTGAATCTAAACCATTCATTTCTAGTTTGAATCTCAGCAGTTCCTTCACAAATTGATTAGTTGGCAGGAATTAACATAGATTACCTTTCCACACTCAGTCATTTTCCAGGTCTGACACTCACTCGATATAAAATTCAAGGATTCCCGTTTCTAGCCAGCTGTTGGCCTAGGCATTTACCTCTCGGAGAATAAACGGACTTTAAGACAGTCACTTTTCCGGGGTTAAGTAAGCACATTCATCCATGCGTCCATTCACTAGTGTTTGTTAGTGCCTGGGGAAACGGAAGGCTGAACACACCTCCCAAAGCCATACACAGATCCACCATGGGCCCAAAGACTTGTCTATAGCAGGGTTGCCCTTTATCCTCTTCACTGTTTGCCTTTAAACTGTCCCAGAAGCAGATCCCGGCAGGAGGAATTGGTTCAAATCTAGTAGTCCTTCAACATCTGGCAGAGATTAGTTCCAGGACCCCCTCTACCAGGTTGCAGCGTCTGGGGATGGGCGAGTCTGATAGAAAATGATTTGCATATAGCCTCTGCACATCTTCCCAAATGCTTCAGATCCTCTCTGCATGACGTACGCTGACTGCCACGCAAGGCTGTGTAAATAGTTGTGGTACCGTATTGTTTCGAGAGTCATGACAAGGGGGAAAAGTCTGCACGTGCTCAATACAGACAAGTGCTTTCCAAATGTTTCTGATCGGTTGGTTAAATCTGTGGATATAGAGCTGGGGGTTGAAGGGCTGATGGAAATTCATTTGGGAGATGAGCTGGGAAACACTGGTGGAGAACTGGAGAGGGAAAGAACCAATAGAAAAAGCATGGTATCAAGCAAGCAGCTGCTGGGGGGTGGAAAGAGCCAAGGCTTGTGTCACAGGGGATGCAGATAGGCCCTATAGAAGACACCCCCAGAGATCCTCCCCAAGAGGAATGAAGACATGGCTACCCATTACCCATTCTGAGTACTTGTTGACTAGAATGTTCCTCAGCAGGGGGAGAATTTAACTCCCCCCACACCTCTGTCAGTAGAAAAAGCATAGAAGCAAGAAGCCCTTAGCGGACTATTGAGTACCAGAGGGTGTGACGGGGCTGCTATTATACTTTCTACATGGGAACCTGCACCTGACGCAGGGCCCCACAGAGGAGGGGCTGGCAAATATAGGTTCTGTAAATATTATCCATTGGGCAATAGGATCACAGAGTCCCCAGGAGTAAGGAGTGTTTACAAAAAGGGCTCCCTATCTGTTCCTTTCCCTATTTCAATATTTGGTTCAATCTCTCACAATATTCATTTCAGGACAGAAGAGTGTGGCATGGTGTAAGCTTTGCCTTCCTTCTGCCCCTGCCCCTTCCTCCTCTGTCACCCTCTAGCTGTGCAATGCAGACTCCAATCTGTGGCTCCCTTTTGCCAGGCCTCTTCAGCTCTTCCAAGGAGTAGCTGGAGAAACAAGTCACCTCTAGAATCCATGAATACAAGATGCCTTTGAGGGAGTGAGAGGTGCTCTGAGGCTAAGGATTTCCAAGATGGGCCTCAGTCAGCTAAATCACACATTCCCCAGCCTTATGAAGATGATCCTATGTCACTGTCCAGCCTCTGGGTGCCATCTGCTCAGTGACAGACTCTAGGCTGAAGCCTAAGAGACAGGTTCCTGCCGTCCACAGATGACCATCCACAATGGAGCATTCAGGTGTGGTTAGGAGGTTTCAACACAGTTTCATCAGAGAGACCTGGAGTAGTCCAGGCAGGGAATTAACCCAGACCACAGCAGAGGCGAGCAGAAGTTTGAAGGAAGTGTGAAAGGTACCCAGGCCAAAAGGTTTGCATCTGGCAAAGAACAACATGGGCAAAGGCTAGGTGGTAGAGACTGGGATCCCCAGGGTGGATATCTGGCAAGATTGACTAGGAAGAGAAAGGGAGGGAGAAACTGTTTCCAAAGCTGATCACAGGAGAATGGGAGTAATGTGCATGTTCCATATCTTGATAGAGTGATGGTTACACAGCTGGAGCAAAATTCATCAAATAGTGCACTCTCCAAAAGGCTAAAACTTGGTCTGCAAGCAAATATACTTGAGTCAACCAGACTCCAAAAAAGGGACACCTTTGGTTTCAGTTGCATCTTTAAAGCAAATGAAGCATTCTTATTAGGAACAATTAAACACATAAGATTAATTACCAAGCACGGTCTATGAGTTCATGACAATGCTTTGATTTCTATTACTAAATTGTGGGTATTATTTTAAAAGAGTAGGTGGAAAAATAAAGGTATAGCACAGTTTTAAAGGTGGTTTTGCTTTGTCGACTATAGAAGGATGCCAAATGAAATGAAATTTCACACACACACACACACACACACACACACTCAAGACACACAGTACTGGAGAGATGGCTCAGAGGTTAAGAGCACTTGTTGCTCTTGCAGAGGATCTGAGTTAGGTTCCCAGCACCTACAGGGGATTCACAACCTTCTATAATTCTAATCTCAGGGGATCCAGCACCCTCTCCTGACCTCTGCAGCCACCAGGCATGCACACGGCGCACAGTTGCATACACACTGGGTAAAACACTCATACACAGAGAATAAAATAAATAAGTCTGGTGGGTTTTTTTATTCAAGAAAAGTCAGGGTAAAATATACAGTATTTTTATGGCTTATCCCGAGCCAGGCATTGTTTTAAATACCCTACAAATGTGTAAAACTGTCTAACCTTCAGAATGGCTCCCTAAGGGACGGTCTGTAGCTATCTCCATTTTAAGGATGAGGAGACTGAGGTTTTGAGAGGTAATGTGAGTAACCTGCCCATTGTCCCCAAGGCTAGTCAGAGGAGGAATGACTGGCTGCAGGGCCCATACATATAAAGACTGCATTTTGGAATGTGTCCTGTATCTCTGGGAAGAACAGAGGCCGTCAGAGTTAACCTCCTGGTGGTGGGAACTCAACAAAGGATTTGTGACCGTGACATCTGTGATCATTTCCTCAGGGTGCTCTTAGAGTAACTGAGTCACAGGTTGGAGACCCACAGGGCTGGGAAGTGATGCCCCACACTAATTCAACTAAGAAGTAA